ACTATATTCAGTACAGCTCAGTCGGAAGACAGTGTGGGTTGCCTTCTTGGGGCGTAAATGAGAAGATGAAAACGGCAATTGGGAGGGGAAAGGCTCCACGGAAGCCAGTACAGCTTTCTTCCAAGTAAATGGGTTGAGGACAGGGGTGTAAAGGTGAGAAACATTTCGGTCTGGAAGTGAAACTGTAAATTTGATAGGTTAAAAGACCCAAGATACTGGCTGGACATTCAAGTCCTAGAATTCATGCCCTCACTCCCCACAAATATTTCAGGAAGGGAACATGGGGGTTGTGTGGTTCCGTAACCGGACAATACTTCCTGCCAAGAAAAAATAAATAAACACACCAGGGAGCTAAGTTGGAGACACATACAAAAATACAAGCAAAGTCAAAATGGAAGAGGCACGGCGCAGTTGAATTTGGGAGCCACGAGGTCTGAGATAGAGCAAAACCAGATAGGCCAAAGCCATGTCCTTCTGAGGTGAACTGAGACTTGTAAATGGTAACAATATTAATTTTTTAAAAAGAGAAAACCTAATGGACAGGGGCAAAAGAGCAAACTGGAGTGCGAGAAAGGTGGGCAACTGCAGTCAGCCAGAGAATCAAGTCAGGCCGAAGAAAGAAAAAAGAGAAAAAAAAAATACCCAAGTGAAAAAAAAGAGAACAGAAAGTGACATAAGACAAAAGATAGATTCTTCAAGGATTTGATTATTTTCTTTGTCAGAATCTGCCTCGTAGTTCTCCTTTAAGCAGAATGCAACAAATTCTTGAATATTGTGCAGAGGAGATACCTTTGCTTTTTATATTCTTAGACCATTCTGATGTTGAGTACTTCTTATGCACCAAATGTGATTGTAAAGATCTCCAACATATGAGCTTCAGAGAGATGAACTGACTGGTCAATCTAACACATACAAACACACACAGTGACCCACGGGCCTCTGGTAATCGCAGTCTAGTCCTAAAAGATAGTGATTTTGCGACTGAAGTTATTGGAGGGGGATGTGACAGGATTCCGGGAAATACCTGTCTGCACATACAACTGCACATATGAGGAGGCTAGAGAAAGCTGCTAGATTGGGAGGGTAATATTGGTGTTCTATATTTTAGGGTGCCATTAAATTACTCCTTAGATTGCAGGTGTTTGAAGGCTAGAGTTTTTTTGGGAGAGCATGTGTGTTTGCATTTAGCACAGCAGAACAAAAAGAGGTGGTAGCAGGAGATCATTAACCATTCCGGAGTTACAGAAAACTGCCTTTCTCAGAGATCCAGCTCATCTGTAAATAGAATAAAATAAAACAGGGTCCCGGAATGTTTCCTTGTAGCAAGATTTCATTCATTCTCATCTCCAAAAGGCTGAGAATTTAGATTCAGCCGCTGGAATATATTTGCACCCTCCACATTATATGGAAGATTGAATAAAAGCAAGAACTTCAGAGAACCTTCATCAGTTCCTTTTTTTTTAAAGTGCTGATTTGCTAAGGTTGCAGAGTCTAACCCCCCCCTTCTTCTTTTTTTCCCTCCCGCCCACCTCTCCAGTTTCAGTGAAGGAAGAACCAGAACCAGAAGTGCGCATGGTAAACGGGAAACCCAAAAAAATCCGAAAGCCGCGCACGATTTATTCCAGCTACCAGCTGGCCGCATTGCAAAGGAGATTCCAGAAGGCGCAATACCTGGCGTTACCAGAGAGGGCAGAGCTGGCCGCGCAGCTCGGACTCACCCAGACTCAGGTAAGACTCCAGAAACAAAACAAAATTCCAAACTTCTGTTTTGTCTTTCTGCCTCTGTTGGTGGAAAGTGGGGGTGATGCAGGCCTGGCACTCCAGCCACAACGTTGGGCAGTTGCTGAGTTTCATGGGCCTAGATGGGAGGGTAGTTTTGCAAGCAGACAGGAGCCAAATCAAACAAAATTAATAATTTCAGGTGCTTGGTAGGTGCTCTCAAGAAAAGCCCCTCTCTCTTTGGTTTCATCAAGGATTCATCCCCAGAGTCCAGCTCAATCAGTCCAAAATTAAAATCCTGCAGCCAAAAACCAGAGTCGCTATTTTGAACAAATATCTGAAGCCTAGCCCCTCTTTGTAATTCTTTCTACACCTCTCTCTAATCACTGGGACCTGTGTGGAGATTTGTTCTTCTCCCCATCAGACTCCCTGCCCTCCCCATATCTCAAGTCTCTTGTCTGCCTGACACCTCCTATTCCTAACTCCCATTTGAACATTTTTTTAATCCCCATCTGCATCACTCTTAGACTTCTCTCCTTCGGCAGTTGTGCCAATTATCCACCTTCCAGGACTGACCTCTCTAAACTTCCCCAGGTGGAATGTTCATGCACATTCTATGACCTCACAGCAATGCTTTGGGGTGGGAGGGCTCAAAATAGAACCACTGACAGTTTTTATGTTGCTGTAAAAAGTCAGGTGGCAGTTCCTTTTAACTGCAGTAATAGTCCTTACCCAGTCACAAGTGCCCTCTGCAATATATATCTCAGTGGTCAGGAAACTGGGCCAAAGAACTGAGTGTCCAAGTCTCTCCTCTGACTCCCTCACTGCCACCATCAGACTCAACACTTGGCTGAGGCTCAAAGGTCTGGATGGAGGTGCTGACTGGCTGGCGAGGGGAGGGGAACAGCACCAGCAAGCGTGTGGGTGGGGCTATGTAACCTATGTGAGTCTGCAGCTTCTCCTGGTACCTTCTGAATCAAGTGAAGCGGAAGTTGCCAGGAATGGAGGGAGGACAAACCTTCCTTTAGCTTGTAGATGAGCTGGTGAGTGTTTTGGAGGTTGCCTTGGGAAATAGGGAGCAGGCAATTTCTTAGGTGTGATAGGAAACCAACATACACCTCCAGGAGTTTTGATTTTTCTTCTTCTTCTTCTGAAGCCTTCTCTATGTCATTTGTCAAGGTCTTTGTTCTTCAAAGGTCCAGATGACACAGAGCCGACTGTGAAGTGCTGATGGGGCTGCTAGGGGTCTCCAGTGTTCCCTCTAAGCTGAGTTAGTGTGAGCCAGCTCACATTTGTTCAGCCTCCGGCTCACACCTTGTTGTCTTCGCTCAGGAAGGATGGCTCCAGTGCAAACTAATTTATCCAGCAGCCAAATTGCTCACTCACAACTTTAATGCCGGTCGCTCACAAAGTAGAATTTTTGCTCACAAGACTCCACAGCTTAGAGGGAGCATTGGTCTGGGCTAGACAGAACTTTGGTTCCTTTAGACGCGAAACAACTAGCAAAGGAAGAAGAATCAGCAAGGTAGATTGTCAACCGGTTCTGGACATGTTTTGGGAAATGAAATCAGGAGAAACGCTGGATTGACAGATGCCAAGGTTTAATCAGGACCGTTTTGGTAGGTTCTTGATGGATGGGGTTTCACTGGAGCTAAGACCCACCATCCAAGACTCAGGCCCTAGTACTTGTGATACTTGTCTCTTCCTGAGCATGTGCAAAGTACTTTCTGTTTTAGCCTGACTTTCTGCACACTCCTTTTTTCAGATCTCTGGCGTTCAGAGGCAGGGTTTCAGAGGTTCCTCTTCGAGGCAGGCTTGGACCTGTGTGCCACTCTAGTCTTCCCAAGCAGCTACTGTCTGCAAATCCAAAACTAGCACAGCAAGATTCGGTTCCAGTTGTCCCCCAAAGGCAGCCTAAACTGATTTCTCTAATCCTCTCGCAACACAGAACATGTTTTCTGGGAAGTAAGTCTCTCACTGAACATGCCAAGGGAACTTAATGTCAAATCCACGTTCTAAGCTGTGGCTCAACCAGGCCTTTGACTGTGGCACTGAAGAAGATTCCTTCTCAGAAATGCGTTACGACAGTGTATATATTGCGAACTAAGAGACTGGTTAGGCCAGAAGGCTCACAAAGGGCCATCTTGTTCGGCTTTTCCTGAGAGCCAAGCAACATCGTATGTGGGAGGACTATGATCAGATGATCTCCTGAGGTTTCATCTTTGGATTGGGGCCACAGTGGTGAGGGAGAGGGGCTGATCTTTGCCTTGTGCTATATCTCTGACAGAAATTGCTCCCCTTTTCAGCTGTTCACCACAGCCAAGAGTAGGAACATGTATCCCCTCCCCACAGAACCAGGGAGATGGCAGTTTCTGTTGCGGAAATGGTGGAAGAGTTAACCACCTCCCTTCCCCAGTGGCGTGGCCCTGGTCCAAACCAGAGCCCCCTCCCCCATGGCTTCTTTTAAAAGAATACTTTGAGAGACCCCATCTCAAACTTTCTAGTCAACCTTATCCCTCAGAGAGAGGGTCCAGGAGGACTCTCACATAAACTCTGGGAAATTCCATCAAGTTCTTTCCTGTGGAAGATCAGTGCCGCCGCCCCCCCCACCATTTGATCTTTTTTTTTTCTGACTGGAATTTGGGGTAGCAAAAGTGCAAAGATGTAAGAGCAGTAATCTCAATTCCACTGTTTACACCAGACTGACTGGAAGGCCACAATATCCAGGTGTGTGGAGGAATATGGTATATGGAGAGGAAAGAATTGAGACAAGAGGCCAGAAAGAACTTCTTTCATCTCCCTTTCCAAACCCTGGAATCAGTTTCGTATGCAATTTAAGACAAAAGAGCAACATACTTTGGGGCATCTGCAGAATCCCTTTCTTCATCGTGAAACAAGTCTCCTACCCTGCTCACAAACATCTGGGACTAGGGTGAAGGTTTACCACACAAACTGAGACTGTAACATTAAAAAAAAAAATTAACAAAATTCCACAGCCTCCATGAGTATACCCTATGTGGGAAAGTAGATTTTGATTCCCAGCTCATAATTCAGAGCAAATCGTGTGGTCCTTTCCCCAATTTACCATGTCCTGTCACAAGCCATTTCCCCCCCTGAACTTTCCAGGGTAGAAAACACCAGCATTTGGTCAAAAACATTAATCAATATCAGTTTAGCAAAACATCCCCATTTGTACACATCCCAACCCCCCAACCCCAAGTCTATTGTGAAAGATAAATCTGGGCTCCAATTGGAACTGAAATGAAGTTTCTTTTCCATTTAAAAGATGAAGATTTTTTTCAACTTTGAAGAATTAAATCTTGGATTAAAAAGTCACCTGTCGCTAAAATAGTCAAAGCAAATTTGATGTGTTAATATATTAAACAAAATTGCCTTTTTTAATGAGGGAAATGTAGTTTTGTATTAACTTGCCAAATTCAATGCTATATTTTCTGCGTGGGGGGGAAGAAATAGAACTGGGTGAATATGCATTTTGAATCCTGGTTAGTAAACACCAGGCACACTATTTTAGATTTTCTTTCCCCGTATCTGTTTTGGCCTGGATTCTGATCCCACCCACGTGGACCGAGATTCAAATCCATGGCCTGCTTGTTGTTTCCTTGCCCAGGCCTTAAGGAGGTCAACAAGGGAGGGCTGAAGATGTTAGGAATGCGAAGCTGGCCAAACGCACCAACGGATGGCGACAACAAGGCCTTTTTAGAAGCCAGTCTTTGTAATTGCCTTGATCTAAATAAAACAGGGAGGCTCGCGTGCTTCCGGGTTATGGAAAGCCAGGAGTGTCGTGGCGTCGTGGCGGTGGCCACCTCAGAGGGCTGAAAATTGCAGCCAGTAAAATGTCCTTGGGATGAATGGGTGGATAGGTTTGTTGTTTATGTGGATGTTGATGGCCAGGAAGGAATTTTCCCCTCGGGTCAGATTGGTTAGTGACCCAGGAGTGATTTCCTTGCAGCAATGTAATGCTTGGTTCACTCACGTGAGTCATCTGGAACTCTTCGCTCTGTAGGATGGTTTTGGCTCATGCCAGCACTGAGGCCCCTGTAATTAATAGAAAGGAATTTTCCCCCAGGTCAGATTGGATAGCGTGTGACCCAGGAGAGATTTGGGCTTTCTGGAGGGCAACGTTTGGGTCCCTTGCCTTAGTCATCTGTACTCTTTATTCTATAGGTCCTTTTCTGGTTCTCCACTGTATCCTATCACAACAACTTGTGAGGTAACTTACGTGGAGAGTAACTGACCCAAGATCGCCTACCCAGTGAGGTTCTTGACTGAGTGGGGATTATTTATTTATTTGATTTGTATTGATTGGTTGATTTGATTTGTACCCCGACCGAGAAGGCTCAGGGCGGATTAGAACCTAGGTCACCCCCATAGCTCTCTCTTCTTTACCTAGCAAGAGCCATTAGCTGGAGTGTGATCAGAGCACTGGACTGGGCCTCAGGAGACCTAACTCCAAATCCCCACTCCTCCATGAAGCTTGGCTGACCCGCTCCCTCAACCTAACCTACCTCACAAGAGAGTTGTTAGCTTAAGCCACAAACATTGCCCTTAATGCCTTGGAGGAAAAGCAGGATTTTTTAAAAAAGAGGTTTTCATAACTCCATATTGTCAAATGGAACCTCACCAAATGAGCCGAGACCTTGATAAAATGAAGGCTTTGTTGCAATCTGCAGATACATTTTTTTCTCCAGTTGTTGTACAGCATTAGGGATTTCTGGACTTTCTTTACAAGGTGTTTGTAATTGGCAGGGATGAGACATCATTGTGTGTAGGCTGGGTGTGTGTATGTGTGTACTGGGCCATTTGGGGAAGTATCTCGGAGATGAGAAAAGTCCTTTCCTTAAAGCACACAACCCAGAAAGAGTCTTGCAACTCTGGGACATGTTGGATGCACTGATTAGAAAACTGTGTGATTTTTCTTTAGACATGAGGGGGAGCTATTCCTTTTATCTTGGCAGAACTGAGCTCTTTGGATCTGTCTGGTGTGTTGCAGTTTAACACATTTGCTTTTGGTCCCCTGTTCCAGCTCCTGCCAACCTAGCAGTTCGAAAGCAAGAAATTGCAAGTAGATAAATAGGTACCACTTCGGTGGGAAGGTAACAGCGTTCCGTGTGCCTCGGCATCTAGTCATGCTGGCTACATGACCACGGAAACGTCTTCGGACAGCGCTGGCTCTTCGCCTTTGAAATGGAGATGAGCACCGCAACCCTAGAGTCAGATTCGACTGGCTTTCGAGCAAGGGAACCTTTACCTTTACTCTGTGCCAGGTCCCTACTCTGAGATACGTTTGGGGCCCAATCCACATTACCACCCTGGCACCGTTCCCGGCATTTCTTTTCTTTCTTTCTTTTTTGCCAGAGGTTTTTTTTTAAATTTATTGTATTTAAGAAAGAAGTAAGCCAAAGAATAAGATTCCAGTAGGTTCCAAGAGGAGATAAAAGTTCCTGGCATTTCAGTGGCACTTGCTAAGAGAACTAAGACAGCAGAGTGGAAGCACGATCCAGGTCTCCCGCAGAACTAAACCACGTCAGCCATATTCATTCACGCCAGGCTCGTAATGTACAGCTAGGCTGTCAGGGTTCTCTATAACTTCCTCTCTCATCCCCTCCCTTAAGGAAAAGCCTAACATTAAGGGCTCAGTGAGAACTTTGGCTGACTTCACCCAATTTGTTCAATCCGTTTGTGACTTCGCAATCCGTCATTTCAATATTTAATTAATTAACAGGCAATGCACACTTAAGGCTACAGTTCGTTAGACTGGAAAGCTAATCGGTTCAGAGCAGCCGGGTTGCCAACTTCATGGCACCAGTCACCTGTATGTGTGTGTGTGTGGGGGGGAGAATTCTACTCCCCAACCCCACAACGTGGCTCTTTCACAACTCACCCTCTGGTTTAACCTACTCCTTCCTCCTCCCCCTTCCTTGTTTTGACCACAAGGAGTTTCTCTCTTTGCGCCTCTCTTCCCTGCCTACCACCCACTTTCTTTCGTCCTTCTTGCGCTGTTCTTGCGAAGTAGGGCACAAATGGTGTCATGGCCTGGAAGTGCTATCAAAAAAAGGGTTTCAAGCCTACTGGGGCCACACTCCCAGCCCAACCCTGCATTTCAACACCACAGTCCCAGCCCTGATGCTCTTGGCAGTCACATCCGAAGGCTTGTAAAATGGCTGAGAGCTCCAGTCACAAAGTCTCTCCCCCCCCCCCCCAGAAACCAGGCCAGGAAGCCTTGCTTGATTCAGAAAATAGGCCAGTCTAGGAATGCCAGCCTCCAGGTGGGACCTGGGGATCCCCTGGAATTACAGCTCATCTCGAGAATACAGAAATCAGCTCCCCTGGAGAAAATGGCTGCTTTGGAGGGTGGACTCTATGGCAATGTACCTCGCTGAGTTCCCTGTCTTCCCCAAGCTCCAATCCCCAAATCTTCGGAAGTTTCCCAGCCTGGATTTGGCAATCCTACCCCATCCCCTGCCGCTGGCCACGGGGGACCTGGCAACCCTAGGCCAGCCCCACGATCGTGTTTTTGGAAAGGAAGGGAAATTATGTCTCCTCAGTGAGGGGGGGGGGCAGGCTCTGAGAAAGCAGGCGAGGCCTATCTTTGGCGCCTTTTGAAAAAGAGTGTCAGGGTTTCCACCCTGTTGCCTGACAGGATCCTGACAGCCGTATGACAGACAGAAATGAAACAGGTCAGGCTTTCCCTTTCCCTTGGATACTTCACTATGGAAAGAGGACACTGTCAAGTAGGAAGAGATGTATGCATTTCTTTTAAAAAATGGAAACAGCCTCTTGTTCCACCTGCCTCTGACTGCTGAGGTGAGTCCATTTTATCCACTGCTTCCCAGCTGACCTCCCGCCATCGCAGAGAAAAGGACTTTGCGAACATTATAAAATCAGTCCCTGTCTTCCCCACCCCCTTTCTTAGACATCTGTGCCCACCACAGAGAGAGGATTTCTTCCTCTTTATGGTGATTTGTTTCTTTTAAAAGAGACGTTCACAAGCCCCAAATTCCTGTTTTCTAACCCCAAAGTCCTGTTTTCCAACCCCAGATACAGAATACAGGCAGAGGGAAATGGATTCACTATAAGATCATCAACAAGCAATGTTCCCTCTAAGCTGTGGAGTCTTGTGAGCAAAAATTCTACTTTGTGAGCTCCTGGCATTAAAGTTGTGAGCGAGCAATTTGGCTGCTGCATAAATCAGTTTGCTTTGGAGTCATCTTTCATGAGCGGAGTCATCAGTTTGCTTTGGAGTCATCTTTCATGAGCGGAGACAAAAATGTGTGAGCCGGAGGCTAAAAATCTGTGAGCTGGCTCACACTGACTCAGCTTAGAGGGAACTATGGCAACAAGGATATTCTTTCTCCATAAGTGTCAGAGCTGAAAACAGTAGATCAAGGCTCAGATTAAACCCAAATTCCGTGACCACCAGATGCCTGATGTAAGATATCTCTGGGGTGCGATCCCAGCAACAGGATTCAGCTTTGTGAACCTGTGGCGTACATCTGTGGGGCTTTTGGGAGTGGAAAGTGCTGTCATGTAACAGCTGACCTATGGCAACCCCATGGGGTTTTCAAGGAAAGAGACCCTCAGAAGTGGTTTGCCATTGCCTGCCTCTGCGTCATGCCCCTGGTATTCCTTGGAGGTCTCCCATCCAAATACTAACCCATGGCCAACCCTGCTTAGCTTCTGAGATCTGATGAGACTGGACTAGCCTGAACTTTCCAGGTCAGAGCATGGGGCTTTTACAAGCTTTCATTTTGCTACTACTAGTAGTACAAAGCCCCAGTCCGGAGGTGTGTGGGATGCGGCCCACATAGTGGGGCTCGCCATCTTCCTCCTTTGCCTCTCAAAAAGCCATCTTTGATTCTGGCAAGTTTGCAACAAAGGTTCTATTGCAGCAGGAAAAGTGCCTGCCAGGAAAGCAGGCTCGGAAAGGGGGCTCTTTAAACTATGACCCTGGTATTTAACTTGTATTTTGCTTGGCAGCTGACTGAGGAGGTCTGCAATCAACTACTTCACTGCAAAAGCTACAGTGGGAATGCTCCCTAGGCTAAGGGAAGGAAGGGAGAGGTTTTTCTTGGGGGGGGGGGGGGGGGAAGCATTGGTTGTTGTCCACCCCAAACTCTTGAATCTGTTTACAACACCAGGCCTTCTTTTTTAAAGTACACACAACTGTTCTCGGGGATAGGGAACCACCACATTTTCATTTCTCCTTTTCTTTCTTACTTCAGGTAAAAATCTGGTTCCAGAACCGAAGATCCAAGTTCAAGAAACTGTACAAAAATGGCGAGGTCCCCCTGGAACACAGTCCCAATAACAGTGACTCCATGGCTTGCAATTCTCCGCCCTCGCCCACCCTCTGGGACAGTAACACCCACAACAACCCAGCCAACAGGAACCAGCTCCCCCAGCCTCTTTCATACAACTCCCCGCCGAGCTACTTGGAGGACCATAACTCTTGGTACCACCACCAAAACCTGAGTGGGCCTCACATACAGCAGCAAGGACCTCCGCCCACTTCTGGTTCGATGCATCACCCGTCTCCGGGGCCTCCTCCCAATCCCGGAGCGGTGTATTAACCTTCTTTGCCTCCTGGACGAAACCAGTGGAGCAGGAAAAATGGAATGAGGGAGAAAGAGCGAGGGAGACAGAGAGGGAGAAACAGACAGACAGCAACAAGTCAAGACGCTTTGATGTGTTTTGTAGGACATGTACACATTCCAGCTCATCTCAGGAACAAGCGAACTGCGACAGGGTTAAGATGTTGGGAAGATGGGGGAAAAAATAGCAGGAAAGCAACTGGGAGGAGAGAACTTGAGCTCCACACTGTACGGGAACTAATTTGGTTTTCACCCAAACGACACCACCGAACCTCACCTTCCTACGTGGTTTCTCTGTGGCCAATTTCTTCTCCACTGCCAAAGCTAGCTTCATGCAGAAGACACCTGACTGTCTTGATGGGAGAGGAGCCAAGACTCATACCACGCAATGCCAGGGTTTCAAAAAGAAAGTATAAGACTGGTTTCCCCCCCTCCCTTTCTCTTTGTTTGTTCAACATGTTTGTTAAGCTTTCCAAGCAAAATGGTTTTTAGAGAGGTGTCATCTTGAGGACGGTGAAAAAGCTGGCAGGACTTCAAAAGCCATCATCCGTAGTGGGATCAGGATTTGCCATTGTTACTCACCCGTGCGAATACAGAACAGGGAACGATTTAAGAAATCTGTCTCTCTTTTCTTTTCCTGTTTGCCACTTAAAAGGAAGTTTAAGAAAGTTTGGTGAAAAACTGTCACCAAGTTTTGTCTTTCTTTTTTTTTAAAGAGAGTTTAGGGCTAAGATCAGTTCTTCAAAATGTATATGTTATACAGAACTGGACAGTGTGTGTTTGGAAAAAGCTGTCTGAGAGAACCAGTGGTTACACAGAAAAAGGGAAACAGTCAAAAGCACAGTAGAAAGGATGGATTCTGAACTCGGGCTATTTCATACCAGAACCCCTCCAGGTTATATACAAGATTAGGAAAATCAGTTTAGGAGACCTAAGAACCAATTTTTCTGCTAGCATGAATATGCTGGTGTTAAAAAGTCCCCACACAGAAAGAAAAGGAACATCCTGTTCTGGCAAACAAGTCCAAGCTTAATCAGGGCGAAGATTTGGCTTGTGGCGGCAGGTGCATATGGGTACCCCTGTGTCTTCCTCTGGGAGAGGAGTGATTTGCACAAGGAAAATAGTTAGGAGAGGAGGGTTAGCCCCTTCTTCCCCAGTGGCCCTGACCTAAATTCCCCCCGCACCTGCTTTCAAACCTTTGAAAAAAATAATGTTGATGGGTGATCCATTCACAGATCCAGCTTTGCCCTGGGGTACTGAAAACTGAGGGGTCAAAGCTAAGTCCTAGTATTGAATGAATCAGTGGGGAGAAAAATTTTGATGTTCATACCACTGCCAATTGGAAGTAGCTCTTTTTGAAAGTAAACTGACATTCCGTTTACACAGGATTAAAAAGGCAAAGGTTCAGATCCCTGGTTGACACCTGCTGATGAGAAAGACCAGAGAGAGAGAGAAAAGATGGAAGGGGGGGGGGAATCCGATCTCAGTTACTAAAATCACTCAAGGTTTACACCATATTAGTAGCCCAAATTTATGTTGGGCCAAATATAGAAACAAAACTCCCTTTCCTTACCGGGATTCTTGTTTTTTAATGTTCTAATCTATTACTGTTTTTAAAAAAATCTACATTTACGTCAGTTCCAAACAAGAGATGCTTCAATTCTGCATCACCATTACAACCCAGATATTTGCTTCTTTGTGTATCTGACGTCAATTGGTATCACATGAGAATTTGACCTTCCTTTAGGGTTTTTAAGGGGTTGGACGGGGGACAAATGTTTATTTAAAAAAAATTTAGGAAGATATTTAAATACTTTGGGGGATGATCTAAGTTATTTTTTGTTGTTGTTGAAAGAGGAAAGTGAAAACTGCTAATTGTCCTAAGTGTTGCTCTTCTCATGCCATTTTAAGCTACTGTCAAAGCAGAGAGCTTATTTTTTTAAAAAAAGGAACCAGAACAAATCCATCTTGGATATTTTAAAAAAATAAATAATGGTGTGTATGTGTGTTTTTTTAAAAAAGAGCTTCAGTTTTAATAAGCATTCTCTTGTGTTGTACAGTGTCAAGGTTGCTATTTATGTTGCCTTGTATAATACATGAAGAGGGAGGAGGGAAATGTAAATATGGCTGATTTGTATAGAGCTTATTTCAAAGTTTTTAAAAAGTTTCTTTTGTTTTTTTTTTTTAAAAAAAACGGCTTGGGGGGAGGAAAAACAGCATCTCTTTGAGATAAGAACTGTGTTCCAGCTTCCTTTCTGCTTTGGTAGTGAACAGAAACTTTATGTATAATGTTAATAAAACTATTTTAAACCTTGTGAGACAATGCTTTCATTTCCTTTCAAAATGCTGCAGTCGGAGATGTATGGCTTTTTGCAGATCTGTGGCTGAAAGCCTTTGCATGGAGCATCTAGCAATTCTTGGGCATTTCCCCAGAATTCTACCATTCTGGGTGCTCAACGCTGACAGACAGAGATCTTTCTCTGTCCGCATAATATAAATTGCAGACTTGTGTAGCCTCAGTTTGCCTCGGGGCTGGGCAGCGAAGGGGGAGGGGGTTTAACCCTTCAGCCTACACTCTAGTTTACCTCTGAAAATTAGCTCCCCTACTTTGTTATTAGCATTTTAAATGGATAGGTACAACTTTTTAAAGAATTAACACTTTTTTCCTTTAAAATGCTAACAACAAAGCAGGTTTGGAACAGGGAAAAAGAGTGGAGGCTGAAGAATTAAAACTCCTCTCTCCCTTCCCTGCATGACCCAAAGGCAAACTGCTGAACAAGCCTGCAATTTGGATTGTATAGGGAGACACTTTCTGGCATGAACTTCTGCTCCTCTGTTTGTGCCCTCATTAAATCAAACATCATAACAACACAAAGTATCGTAGGAACAATTCTCATTATGGCTTTAGTACATGGTGTCCATTGTTCAGCATGCTCAGAGGTGGTCATGTGACTACTCCAGCACACTGAGGATGTGGAATTTTGTATATCTACGTTGCTGTTGGAATGAGGGTTGAGCGGTGATCAGCCATTTCTGTGCATGACAGTTTGGTCATTCCAGTCTTCAGAGTACACTCAACCAGCAGTATAAACTCATGTGGTTGCCCTGGATCATTGAGATTTTTAGGGTACAGTCTTTTCTGGTATTGACATAGAGCAGGGGTGGCCAAACTTGCTCCGCGTAACAGCCACATAGAATAAACATCAGATGTTTGAGAGCCGCTAGATTGAACAAATATTAACACGTTTTTATTTTAAAATATGAAAATTTGCTGTTTATTAACATTAAATGAGACTGCCAAAAGTAAAAACAAAAGGGGTAAAAACAGATATTGATAATGACATTTATTTGTCCAATGATATTTATTTGTTTGCTAATATTTATTTGTCTAAGAGAGAGAGGTGGAAAGAAAGAATGGGAGAGGTGGAAAGAGAGAGAGAGAGAAACAAAGCAAGCAAATAGATGGGAGGGAGGGAGAAAAAGTATGCCTCCCCTCCCCAGCTGCCCTGCTGGAAGCCGCACAAGATGTGTAAAAGAGCCACAGTTTGGCCACCCCTGACATAGAGGGAAGGTGGCATGGTGTAGCTTGATCTCATCAGACCTCTGAAGCTAAGCAGGGCTGGTACTTGGAGGGGAGACCACCAAACATGATTCTGCAGAAGAAGGCAATGGAAACCACCTCTGCTTCTCACTTGCTCTAAAAGGCCCTTGCTGGGGTCGCCCTCAGTTGGCTGCACCTTGAAAGCACTTACGTATGCCCATTGTTCTTGCTGTAGTGACTCCATACGGCTGACCAAGTTACGTTTGTTTGACTCTCTTGCTGTGGGATAAAGAGGACTTTTAGCATGCATCATATATGTATAGCAGAACATGGGATAAGAAGAATCTCTACTTCTTGATTTGTTCATATGATTATTCTGGCAACATGGGTCATAACTTCTCATCCCCATGGTGACAGGTCAAGGAAGTAGATAGAAAGGTTATATTTTGGATCCCACATGCAGAAAATGAGGTGGTTGAATGTAGTGGTCAGAGTGTTGGACTGGAACCTAAGACCAGCATTCAGATCCTCACTTGCCATGAATCTCATTGGGTGACCTGGGGCCAGTCGCTGTCTCACCACCTAACTAAGTAACAGAAGGGGAAAGAAACATGTGTGCTGCCCTGAACTCATTGGAGAAAGGTGGGGAAAAAATTAACCAACTAACTAAACAGTGCAAAGATTCAGTTTTCTTTCAACTTACATTTCCAAAAGTGACATAAGAGCATAAGAGAAGCCATGTTGGATCAGGCCAATGGCCCACCCAGTCCAACACTCTGTGTCACACAGTGGTCAAAACCCAGGTGCTATCAGGAGGTCCACCAGCGGGGCCAGAACTCCAGAAGCCCTCCCACTGTTGCCTCCCAAACACCAAGAATACAGAGCATCACTGCCCCAGACAGAGTGTTCCATCTATAACTTGTGGCTAATAGCCACTGATGGACCTCTGCTCCATATGTTTATCCTATCCCCTCTTGAAGCTGTGAATTCAAGATTACTCTTTGGGTGAATACTTCCTTTTATCTGTTCTAAGCCTTATGCTCATTAATTTCATTGACTGCCCATGAGTTCTTGTATTGTGAGAAAGGGAGAAAAGTGCTTCTTCCTCCACCTTCTCTATCCCATGCATAATTTTGTAAACCTCTGTCATATCACACCTCAATCCTCATTTCTCCAAGCCAAGGAGCCCTGACCTCTTTAACCTTTCTTCATAGGGAAGATGTACCATCCCCTTAATCATTTTAATTGCCATTTTCTGACCCTTTTCCAATGCTATAATATCTTTTTTGAGGTGCGGTGACCAGAACTGTACACAGTATTCCAAATGAGGCCACACCATAGATTTATGCAGGGGCATGATGATACTGGCTGATTTGTTTTCAATCCGCTTCCTAATGATCCCCAACATAGCTTTTGCCTTTTTTTATTGCAGTCGCACACTGAGTTGACATCTTCAGTGAGTTATCGACCACAACTCCAAGATCTCTCTCCTGGTCAGTTATCACCAGACAGAAGAGAGCCAGAGTAGTGTCATGGTTAAGAGGGATGGACTCTGATCTGGAGATCCGGGTTCAATTCCCTACTCCTCCATACAAAGCCTGCTGGTTGACCTTGGGCCAGTCACAGTTTCTCTCAGAACTCTCTCAGCCCCTCCTACCTCACAAGGTGACTGTTGTGGGGAGAGGAAGGGAAGGTGATTGTAAGCTGTTTTGAGACTCCTTAAGGTAGAAAAAAAGTGGGGAATAAAAACTACTCTTCTTTTTAAACATACCTGGCCTGTTTTTTAATGGACATTACCTTCATCATGAGGAACCACCATTTACCCAGTACCTCTGGGATTTTTCCAGCAGTAGCTATTATGCAACAGAACTTTGGTTATGGTTATGACCACATGTGTGTAACAGCTAGAGGGTCAAACTAGGACCACAAAAACCTGGGTTCAAATACCCCAGATCCCATAAAGCTCACTGTGTGGACCAATCACTCTCTAAGTTTAACCTATCACATGCTTGTTGGGAACATAAAATGGAGAAGTGGATACCCTGCCCTGAGTTCCTTGGGAGGACGCACAGGATTAAAATGTAACACTTGTTTATTCAGAACATCTTTACCCTACCAAGTTGCTCAGTGTCCATCATTCTCCCCTCCCACAACAACCCTCTGAGGTAAGAACAGGCTGAGAGAGTGCCTGACCAAAGGTCCACCAGTGAGCTTTGTGGCAGAGTAAAGATTCGAACCCAGATCTCCCAGTTCCTAGTCTGACATTCAGAATACTACACCATGCTGGATCTCAGCTAGGTAGTTCAAAGGGGACTGCTCCATGAATGTCCTGTTCTCTCCCCTTCTGCCAGCAGCCAGTGTTGTCCACCATCCAACAGCGAGGGACTGATATTGCCACTTGCATCTAAGGATTGCGAATGCAAAGAATGCCACCCACATCACGTAGGCAATCCGGGATGGGTGTGTGCGACTTCTGAGAACAGGGAAACCGACATCCACCCACGCTTCCCACTCAGCAAAGCAGGGCTCTCGGCTGCCAGAGTAGTCTTCCAAAGGGTAGGGAGGTGATCGAAGACAAATCAGGGGGCATCAGAGCTTTTGTGAATGACAAAGCAAGGCAATGCGAACAAGAAAACACTGAAGAGAACAAGCATCACCGCCAAACAAAATTTGCCTTGCTAGCCCAGACCGAAGACCTCTTTTTCTCCAGCAGAAACTAGAAGAGAAGAGACTGGATTTATACCCCACCCTTCACTACCCGAAGGAGTCTCAGAGTGGCTTACAATCTCTTTCCCTCCCTCTCCCCACAACAGACACCCTTTGAGGTAGGTGGGGCTGAGAGAGCTCTCTCTCGAGAACTACCCTTGAGAGAACAGCTCTGAAAAAACTTATGACTGGTCACACCAGCAGCTGCATATGGAGAAGTGGGGGATCAAACCCAGTTCTCCCAGATTAGAGTCCGTGCTCTTAAACACTGCACCAAATTGGCTCTCTAGCCAGATCCCCCCTTAGATATAAGGGGTGTTACATACCATGAGGACTGGGTACAGACAGCAACACTCTATTGATGGTTTCCAGAACTGAGAAATGTGCTATGTCTGACCATCATGAAAGGGCTGTGGCTCAGTGGCAGAGCACATGTCTCACATGCAGAAGGTCCCAGGTTCAATCCCTAGCATTTTCAGGGAAGTAGCAGGAGAGACCTTCTGCTGTCTCCAGCTCTGCAGACTCACTGCCAGTCAAAGTATTCAATGGATGGACCATTCATTTGATGTGGGAGAAGGCAGTTTCCCACAAAAACAACCAACAAAACTACATAATATGATTTAGAAGTTGACAGAGAACCCCACAGGTTTTCTGAAAGACAATGGAATGTCTGTTCAAAGGGCTTTAGAGATGGATGGAAATCTGTTATACAGAGCAGAGTCTATTCTAAAATAAGACAAAATGATCTCTAAGAAAGATAGGATAACAAGAGATGTCAGAGTCTCTCTCTCTGCCAGTTTATTGGACGCCACAGTGGTCTCTAGCAGCTCCTAGACAGGACAACAGGTAAATCCAGACGAACTGGAAAACCGGCTGACAATAAGGGACGCCACAAAAATAAATATGGGGATGAATTCACAGAAAACCTCACTCCCAGGAACTCTTGAGCAGATGAGAAGCTAATGGTTAGCAGTTCTGAACATGTTTGCAATGCACATCTAAGCCAGCTTGCCTGCCGGGGAGATAACGTCTAAGCCTAGCTAGCCTTTCCCCTGATA